GAGCAAGTGATGACGGGGGAGGGGGAGGGATGGTTGGTTCCTTAATAATCGGCGATACTAGTTTGTCATCGAAATGAATGAACGGCTTGTAGAGGGATTGGTCGTCTCACTAGCGGATTGCTTGAATTCATATTTTTTAATGGCATGTTTAGACTTTTTTCAGTGCAGAAGAACGCCAAATCTGCTTATTTTTTACATAAATTAAGTCAGCGGGTAAGTGGGTGAAAAGAGGTGTTGGTATTGCTGCCATCCGAATTTCACATTTCTTAATGTTCCGTTGTTTTTACAGGATATTTTGGATATTGCTAAAATGCCTGCTGATGAAAGTGTAAATAATACCGCCGTATTTTATTCAATATCATCAACACAGCCAGGTAAATTGGTTTCGGTACATGAAATAGAATCCGGGGCCATTCTGAATGATGGTTTTTGAATTCCATATGAAACTTTTAAAGGCGCGATTTTTTCGACGATTTTGAAAATAAAGAACGGCGATTTTTGAAAATTTTAAGAATGGCGGATCGAGTTGGTCAATTTTGAGGTTTAAGTCTGTTTCTTCAGACACCTTATATAGATTTTCTTAACTTATTGGCCGATTTCCTTTGACTTTATCCCCCTCTGTCATCTTTTGTCCATTTTCCTCTGTCATCGCTTCTCTTCTGGTCTTCGGTTTTTTTTTCATACGTCTTACTGGAATGATTTTGGCGCTCTATTGGAACAAATCGGTATTTATTCGTTTCCATATAATGCAATAAGGCTTTCAAGAATTCATGCATGATTCGGTCAATTTTTACAGCTAAGGGATGAAACACAGACAGACTGCATCGCGTAAAATGTCTTCTTACATATGACACTTAAGTTCAGTCCCTCAATTCTACCATTTCATGAGTTGTTTAGAAGTAAGCTGATGCCTATTTTGACTCCGTAACGTGCATCTGTACTGATTTGCTGTCAAAAAATCATTATGTGGTCCGGAATTTTCCCGGTTTTTTTTTTTTTCAGGATTACGTGGTATTGATTTGGGCAATATGCTAATTAAACGAGTTATTGCGGAGATTTCA